AAACAATATCTTGTCATTTAAAATCTTCAGATTATTTAAAAATCTGGTGAAAGAAGTGAAGATGTACGCTCAAAAGTTTATTGACCGGGGGAAAGACTTCAATCTCGATCTTGCTATTAGGACGAAGCTCATTACCGATGGTTTGAGGTATTCTTTGGCTACTGGTAATTGGGGCGATCAAAAGAAAGCTCATCAGGCCAGAGCTGGAGTGTCTCAAGTATTAAACCGTTTAACTTTCGCTTCAACTTTATCGCATTTGCGTCGTGTGAATTCCCCAATCGGTCGTGATGGTAAATTGGCCAAACCGAGGCAGTTGCATAACACGCTTTGGGGTATGATCTGTCCTGCCGAAACCCCGGAGGGTGCCGCCGTAGGTCTCGTAAAGAACTTAGCTTTGATGGCTTACATTTCCGTTGGTTCTCAACCTTCCCCAATTTTGGAGTTCTTAGAAGAATGGTCCATGGAGAACTTAGAGGAAATCGCTCCTTCTGCTATTGTTGATGCTACTAAGATATTTGTTAACGGATGTTGGGTATATTTTTTTAAATTTTATTTAGCATGTTTTTTAATCATTCGTTTTATTATCTTCAGGTGGGTATTCATAGAGATCCTGAACAATTAATGGCGACTTTGAGGAAACTCAGACGTCAGATGGACATCATCGTATCTGAAGTATCGATGATCCGTGATGTCAGAGATCGCGAAATTAGGATTTATACCGACGCCGGTCGTATCTGTAGACCGCTTCTTATAGTTGAGAATGGAACATTGTCATTGAGGAAAAGGCACATCGACATGTTGAAAGACCGCGAATACAACAATTACGGCTGGCAAGTTTTGGTCGCCTCAGGTAAAACATCTTTGGCGTAATTAATGAATTCGTTGTGTAATTGTTATTTGGTCTAGGTGTCGTCGAGTACATAGACACTCTGGAGGAGGAAACTGTGATGATTGCCATGTCTCCCGATGATTTGCGTCATCAGAAGGAATATGCTTATTGTTCAACATACACACATTGCGAAATCCATCCGGCAATGATTTTGGGCGTTTGCGCTTCGATTATTCCATTCCCTGATCACAACCAAAGTCCCAGAAACACTTATCAAGTAAATATTTTGTTATATATTTTATTAGCTAGACGAATTAATGAACTTTCCATTTTAAGAGTGCTATGGGTAAACAAGCTATGGGAGTTTATATTACAAACTTCCACGTACGAATGGACACTTTAGCGCATGTACTGTATTATCCTCACAAGCCTCTGGTAACAACAAGATCCATGGAGTATCTGCGTTTCAGAGAGTTACCAGCTGGTATTAACAGTATTGTAGCTATTTTATGTTACACGGGATACAATCAGGAGGATTCTGTTATTTTGAACGCTACAGCCGTAGAAAGAGGATTTTTCAGGTATGTTTACAGTCCTAACTGATATATTTAAAACTAATGGTTATATTGTTACAGATCTGTGTTTTACCGTTCATATAAAGATACTGAATCAAAGCGTATTGGTGATCAGGAAGAACAATTCGAAATACCCACGAAACAAACGTGTCAGGGTATGCGTCACGCTTTATATGACAAATTGGATGATGATGGTATTATATCACCTGGTATTCGTGTGTCTGGAGATGACGTGGTTATTGGAAAAACAATTATTTTACCTGTAAACGATGATGAATTGGATGGTACCAACAAGAAGTTCACCAAAAGGGACGCTTCGACATTCTTGCGTAACAGTGAAACGGGAGTTGTTGATCAGGTCATGTTAACATTAAACTCTGAAGGTTACAAGTTTTGTAAAATCAGGGTGAGGTCTGTGCGAATCCCTCAAATTGGCGACAAATTCGCGTCGCGGCACGGGCAAAAAGGTACCTGCGGTGTCCAATACAGGCAAGAGGTAAATAATTTAGAGTTTGCCTATTTGAATCGTGAATTTAATGCGTTCATATTTTTTAGGATATGCCTTTTACTTGCGAGGGATTAACTCCCGATATTATTATCAACCCTCACGCTATTCCATCCCGTATGACAATTGGGCATTTAATTGAATGCATTCAGGGGAAAGTTTCCTCGAATAAAGGAGAAATCGGCGACGCCACTCCGTTCAACGATGCCGTCAACGTGCAGAAAATCTCTACCCTCTTGCAAGAGTACGGTTACCAGTTGAGAGGTAACGAAGTCATGTACAATGGACACACCGGGAGGAAAATTAATGCTCAGGTTTTCTTGGGTCCTACTTATTATCAACGTCTCAAGCATATGGTGGACGACAAGATTCACTCAAGGGCTCGAGGACCAGTCCAGATCCTTGTGAGACAACCTATGGAGGGTAGGGCTAGAGATGGTGGTCTGCGTTTCGGCGAGATGGAACGAGATTGTCAAATTTCTCACGGCGCCGCGCAGTTTCTCAGGGAGAGACTGTTCGAGGTCTCCGATCCGTACAGGATCCACGTTTGCAATTTATGTGGACTCATTGCTATGGCTAACATGCGGAATAACACGTTTGAATGCAAAGGATGTAAAAACAAGACTCAGATCTCACAGCTGCGTCTTCCTTATGCAGCTAAACTTCTGTTCCAGGAATTGATGTCAATGAATATCGCACCAAGGCTGATGGTCATTAATTAAATTTTGTACTTGAATTTATTTATGTATACTAGATTTCAGGACTAATTTTATTAATAGTCTTCTATAGCGTTGCAAATTTGTAAGATTTCAACAAATGGAAGAAACCAGATTTAAATTATATAACCGATTTTTTTTTATTAATGATTCAATTACAGGATAAACGCTGAGGCAATTGTCAGAATTATTATTATGTAATTCTCAACTATTATAGCTGCACAGATGGAGCATTCCGTAGCTCATTTCTTCTTCGTTTCGCTCGCATTCCGCTAAAGGTGTGTATTGTATGCGAGTTTCGCTTAGTTTTCAAATACAAAAAGCAATTTAGGTTTTTCTGTTCCATATTTTTCACTCTCGCTCTCATCAGAATCTAAGCTAATTTGTTACAGACTCACCACATGCGACAACAATAGCAACAACAATGGCAATCGAAGTATAAATTTCTAGCTGATTCTGGTGAGTGTGGACACTTGATGCTTCTTAAAGATTTCCATTGCTATAAACAAGGGTTTACATGTAATTTTTATATAGTATGTATAATAATACTTTCCCTTTGTAGCAGTGTTAAATTTATGCTGGAAATGCTGCTGATGGCTCAGATGGAAGCAGAAAAAAGACAATATTTCTGGAGCCATAAACAACAGATGCAATTCTAAGGGCTTTGTAGATGTTGTAGAGTTTTACGTTAATAATCGAACTGTTTTCCAGTAATTTGCCATATTCTCTGATAGTTATAAATCACAGATCTTCTGGAGGAAGCGGCTCGAACCATCAATGAATATTTTTAGATTGTCCTCATAATTATTTTACACAAATTAGTCGCAACACTTGCGACTTTTAGAGAATTTCTGTGTCAGTACTTGACGTTCGCAAACCTTGGTTATTGATGGAACTATCTTAATGTGTCTCTCTTCCAGGTACACTGTATTATTGAGTGTACTGTTCATCGTCTTATCTGTCTGATCGATATTCGATCCAGAAGTGGAGACTGCAAGGTCGTCTGTGTTGGAATAGAACTTCGCGCCTTTCAGGATGATATTGTGGGTGTAGTGAATATATATGTTAAAGAGGAGGGAACTTAACGGGCTACGCTGAGGTAGACCTAGGATCTACCATCGTGAGGCGGAGTCTGCATTGGAACTAGAAATGTGTAAGCATATATTTTTCAATAACTATTATATATTTACGAACAGAGAAGGTCGTTTTTATGTCGATTAAATATACTAGCATTGTATGATTGTTGTTCAGCGTCTTGTGAATATTAGCGCACAGATGATATCACTAGTACCACGGCCTTTTCTAAAACCGGAAACTGTGAAGGAAGAATGGCTCGAGTTTCTATAAACTTTTCCAGTCTTGTTTTTAGCATAGACTCAAGGCATTTTCTCATGGAAGATATCATCGCGATTATTCTGCAGCTGGCTGGTGTGATTTTAATATCGAAACATGCTGTAGAAAAGAGGCCGCCGTTCTAGATTTTGTTGTAAGACGTAAGTAATCTCCGTTTTCCAACTTCATCATTGTAGCAATGATCTGATCAAGTCCAGGGGAACAGTTGTTAGCTTTATTCAAGGCGGTATTCAGTTCCCCTGTCTCAAATGGTTTAGTCACATCTGCATCCACTACTTGGGGACCGAGTCTGGGGCAGTTTTCTAAGAAATTTATCGTGCCATTCTATTTGTCACTCTAGATGCCGGTTTTATTTGAACTAAAAAAAACTGGATTTTGAGCCTAGACTTAAAATATAAAAAAAATAATTTCATTATTTGATTATTGGAAATCAGGGACTTCACCATATAAGCGTGGGAAATCTCCATCAACTACTCTTCGCATAAAATAGATGGTCCGATGGTCCGATTATCCAGTACAAAGAAATCTTGAAACTACAAAAAAATATTGATAATATTAATGAATGAGACGTTTATGTACACGTAGCAAGTGAGAGAGTATTGTATATTTCTACAAATTTTGTAGCCAAAACAAGGGCCTGTTTGAGCAATATACATTATTTCTTTTTTGAAATAAAATTTTCTGAGAAAAATAATAAGAAATGTAATAATGTTTCTATATAGTTTTCAATTTGTATCAAGTTAAATAAATTTAAAATAAGTTTAAAAAATTCTTTGTCACTATTTTTTTTTTGTGAAAATTTGAAAACGGGATCCCAGTGGTGTGGGTAAAAGAATTGAAAAAGTTCCGAATGATACCGAACTCAGACGAAAACTCTTCTCTCTTATCCATACCAACTGTTTGGTGATTAAAACGCTTTAGCTGTGGTATACCTGGTTCCCCTAGCCTGGTTCATTCAATAGAAAACAAGCAACATGAAGCAACAGTAAGAAACAGTAAACAGGGGTAGTACTAATTGTTGCGTATTATTGTAATTTAATAGTATTTCACGAGCAACAGAAATATGTATGAGCAGGACGAAGGTATGTCGTTTATTTTCTATTCTCATATGTCGTTCAATGGAATTAGCAGTTTAACCTCAAACAATATTGTTTTAGATAATTTTGAAGAGGAAGATGGAGGAGAAATCAGCTCTGAACTGTGGCAGGAGGCCTGCTGGATCGTCATTAACGCATACTTTGATGAGAAAGGTTTGGTCCGGCAGCAGCTGGACAGTTTCGATGAGTTCATTCAAATGTCTGTTCAGAGGATTGTTGAGGATTCCCCACAGATTGACTTGCAAGCAGAAGCACAACACACAACTGGAGAGATTGAAAATCCAGTAAATAATAGTTTTTTTTTCTTCTCATTTTGAATTTAGCACTATAATTATATCATTTTAGCCAAGATATCTATTGAAATTTGAACAAATCTATTTATCAAAACCAACACATTGGGAAAAGGATGGTGCACCATCCCCTATGATGCCTAATGAGGCCCGTTTAAGGAATCTTACATATTCTGCTCCACTGTATGTTGATATCACAAAAACCATTGTTAAAGATGGTGAAGATCCTATAGTAACTCAACATCAAAAAACATTTATTGGAAAAATTCCTATTATGTTGAGATCAACATATTGCTTGCTCAGCGGTCTAACGGATCGTGATTTGACTGAGTTGAATGAATGCCCGTTGGATCCAGGTGGTTATTTTATTATCAACGGCTCAGAGAAAGTACTTATTGCTCAGGAGAAGATGGCTACAAATACTGTTTACGTTTTTGCAATGAAAGATGGAAAATACGCTTATAAAGCTGAAATCCGTTCGTGTTTGGAACACAGTTCAAGACCGACTTCTACATTGTGGGTTAATATGATGGCTAGGGGTGGACAAGCTATCAAGAAGGCAGCTATTGGTCAGAGAATCATAGCAATTTTACCATACATTAAACAGGAAATCCCCATTATGATTGTTTTTCGCGCATTGGGTTTTGTCGCCGATCGCGATATCCTCGAACATATTATTTATGATTTCGACGATCCAGAAATGATGGAAATGGTCAAACCATCTTTGGACGAGGCCTTCGTTATTCAAGAACAGAACGTCGCTTTGAATTTCATCGGAGCAAGAGGTGCTAGGCCTGGAGTTACGAAGGAAAAACGTATTAAATATGCTAGGGAAATTCTGCAAAAAGAAATGTTGCCGCACGTCGGTGTTTCCGATTTCTGTGAAACAAAAAAAGCTTATTTCTTGGGGTCAGTACATATTAATATTTGTGTTTATGTATTTATTTAAATTGTTCTTTTTAGGTACATGGTTCACAGATTGTTATTGGCGGCACTCGGCAGAAGAGAATTAGATGACAGGGATCATTACGGTAATAAACGTTTGGATTTGGCTGGACCATTGCTTGCTTTCCTTTTCAGAGGGTAAATATTATTAATTGACTTGAAATAATATCTTATCATTTAAAATCTTCAGATTATTCAAAAATCTGATGAAAGAGGTGAGGATGTACGCACAAAAGTTTATTGACCGGGGGAAAGATTTCAATCTCGATCTTGCTATTAAGACGAAGCTTATTACCGATGGATTGAGGTATTCTTTGGCTACTGGTAATTGGGGTGACCAAAAGAAAGCTCATCAGGCCAGAGCTGGTGTGTCTCAGGTATTGAACCGTTTGACTTTCGCTTCAACTTTATCGCATTTGCGTCGTGTGAATTCCCCAATCGGTCGTGATGGTAAATTGGCCAAACCGAGGCAGTTGCATAACACGCTTTGGGGTATGATCTGTCCTGCCGAAACCCCGGAGGGTGCCGCCGTAGGTCTCGTAAAGAACTTAGCTTTGATGGCTTACATTTCCGTTGGTTCTCAACCTTCCCCAATTTTGGAGTTCTTAGAAGAATGGTCCATGGAGAACTTGGAAGAAATCGCTCCTTCTGCCATCGCCGATGCCACCAAGATATTTGTTAACGGATGTTGGGTATATTTTTTAGTTTTTTATTTTATTCAGAAAGTTTTTTAATCATTTGTTTTATTATCTTCAGGTGGGTATTCATAGAGATCCTGAACAATTAATGGCGACTTTGAGAAAACTCAGACGTCAGATGGACATTATCGTATCTGAAGTATCGATGATCCGTGATATCAGAGATCGCGAAATTAGGATTTACACAGATGCCGGTCGTATCTGTAGACCTCTTCTTATTGTTGAGAATGGAACATTGTTATTGAAGAAGAGACATATTGACATGTTAAAGGACCGCGAATACAACAATTATGGCTGGCAAGTTTTGGTTGCTTCAGGTAAAGCATCTTTTGCGTAATTTTTGAATTCGTTGTGTAATGATTACTTGGTCTAGGTGTCGTCGAGTACATAGACACTCTGGAGGAGGAAACTGTGATGATTGCCATGTCTCCCGATGATTTGCGTCAAGAGAAGGAATACGCTTATTGTACAACATACACGCATTGCGAAATCCATCCGGCAATGATTTTGGGCGTTTGCGCTTCGATTATTCCATTCCCTGATCATAACCAAAGTCCCAGGAACACTTATCAAGTAAGAATTCTATTATATATTTTATTATCTAGATGAATTAATGAAATTTCCATTTTAAGAGTGCTATGGGTAAACAAGCTATGGGAGTTTATATTACGAACTTCCACGTGCGGATGGACACTTTAGCGCACGTACTGTATTATCCTCACAAACCTCTGGTAACAACAAGATCCATGGAGTATCTACGTTTCAGAGAGTTACCAGCTGGTATTAACAGTATTGTAGCTATTTTGTCTTACACGGGATATAATCAGGAAGATTCCGTTATCTTGAACGCTTCTGCCGTAGAACGAGGATTTTTCAGGTATGTTTACACTCCTAACTGATATATTTAAAACTAATGGTTATATTGTTACAGATCTGTGTTTTACCGTTCATACAAAGATGCTGAATCAAAGCGTATTGGTGATCAGGAAGAACAATTCGAAAAACCCACGAGACAAACTTGTCAGGGTATGCGTAACGCGTTATACGACAAATTGGACGATGATGGTATTATATCTCCTGGTATTCGTGTATCTGGAGATGACGTGGTTATTGGAAAAACAATAATTTTACCTGTAAACGATGATGAATTGGATGGTACCACCAAGAAGTTCACCAAAAGGGACGCTTCGACTTTCTTGCGTAACAGTGAAACGGGAGTTGTTGATCAGGTCATGTTAACATTGAACACCGAAGGTTACAAGTTTTGTAAAATCAGGGTGAGGTCTGTGCGCATCCCTCAAATTGGTGACAAATTTGCGTCTCGGCACGGGCAAAAAGGTACCTGCGGTATCCAATATAGGCAAGAGGTAAATAATTTACAGCTTACATATTTGAATCGTGGATTTAATGCGTTCATATTTTTTTAGGATATGCCTTTCACATGCGAGGGATTGACTCCCGATATTATTATCAACCCTCACGCTATTCCATCCCGTATGACAATTGGGCATTTAATTGAATGCATCCAGGGAAAAGTTTCCTCGAATAAAGGAGAAATCGGCGACGCCACTCCGTTCAACGATGCCGTCAACGTGCAGAAAATCTCTACCCTCTTGCAAGAGTACGGTTACCAGTTGAGAGGTAACGAAGTCATGTACAATGGACACACTGGAAGGAAAATCAACGCTCAGATTTTCTTGGGTCCGACTTACTATCAACGTCTCAAGCATATGGTGGACGACAAGATTCACTCAAGGGCTCGAGGACCCGTCCAGATCCTTGTGAGACAGCCTATGGAGGGTAGGGCCAGGGACGGAGGTCTGCGTTTCGGCGAGATGGAACGGGATTGTCAAATTTCCCACGGCGCCGCGCAGTTCCTCAGGGAGAGACTGTTCGAGGTGTCCGATCCGTACAGGATCCACGTCTGCAATTTCTGTGGACTCATTGCTATGGCTAACATGAGGAACAACACGTTTGAATGCAAAGGATGTAAAAACAAGACGCAGATTTCGCAGGTCCGTCTTCCTTATGCAGCCAAACTTCTATTCCAGGAATTGATGTCCATGAATATTGCTCCCAGACTGATGGTCATAAGTTAAATTTTGCACTTGAATTTAATTTTATGTATTGAATTATTTTTATATACTAGACATCAAGTTTAATTTTATTAATAGCACTATAGCTTTGTAAGTTTGCATTGCAATAGATGGAAGAAACAAGTTATGTAGCTATGTATTGGAATTATTTACATATTAAATATATGACACTTAAAGGACTTATGTATGTTTTTTTGGTATATGTGTAAAACAACATCTCTCAAATGACCACCATTTTCCTGCTCACAAATAGAGGTTGTTTTCACAGCATTTTATATGATCGTATGCAAAGTTTTAAATCGCATACGTCGGTTTTTGGCTCGAATGTTTTGGTTAAGTTCTTGAATTGATTTGAAATCTTTTTTTTTGTAGAGGGGAGGAAACCTTACGTATGGACCATGGGTTGAGTCGTGGTATTGTCGGATTTTTACTGCACTAAAACCTCTCCTCTTCATCAGCATATAGGACCTGTAACACTGTCTTTGCCTGTTTGGTACTTCCCTTAGATCATGTTAATGCTGGCCTCCACTACTAACACTCCTCTGCAGCCTCCGCTTTTCTTCTTTTTTTTTAATCTGGTGCCGTCAACTCAGTTTCAGATTTTTTTTTTAATCAATTGTTCACCAAATATTTCTCACAGAAGATCCATCGTCGCTATTGCAACCATACACTTCAAGCATTGTTTCCGTTGTTACTTTCTGGCTGACCTTCTTCATTTTCAAAGAAATTGGAGTCAATAACTTTTTCAGTAATCACACCACACCAAACAGTGTTCAATTGCACGATAACCCTTAATTAAATCATCGATGATGCAAATTAAAGACAAAAACTATTGCATTTCCAATAAGCCAATTGTCAGAATTGTGGTAATTCTCAAGAAATATAGTTATTCTACAGAATAGTAAAAGACGGAATGTTTTAGGTTGGATAATGAACGTAATCGGAACATTTTTAATGCCTCGTTTTTATTTGGAAGACATTTCTTGTTATTAAAACCAGTATAAATTGATTGATTGAATGAATACACATTAAAGTCATTAAAGAGTACACGTACACAGGTTGGAGCATTCCGCTGCTCCTTTCTTCTTCGTTTCGCTCGCATTCCGCTAAAGCCAGGTGTGTATTGTGTGTGTGTGAGAGAGATTCGCCTAGTTTTCAAATACAAAAAGCACTTGAGGGTCGGTTTGTTCGCTCTCATCAGAATCAAAGCTAATTTGTTACAGACCCACCACATGCGACAACAGTAGCAACAACAAGAACAACAATAATAATCGAAATGTAAATTTAAAAAAAAAATAATAACACGCATATAATAATAATATAATCAGAATAAAAATGCATCGAATGTAAAAATAATGAAAACGAAACAATTTCTCTCATTTTATTATTATTTTTTTATGTTTCAATATATATAGATAATATATCTTTTTCTTCCTTATAATACATTGTATGTATATTAATAATATACTTCTCTTTATTGTTAATACTGTAGATAACAGCAGTTACGATTTAAGAACAAACATAATAATAATGAAGACATGTTTATAGAATAAAAAATAATAATAGTACAGAACACATTTACTTTTCTCGATGAACAAATGAAGCGAAAAGTACTTTCTAGCATACGAAACAAGGACGTTTTAAATTAATTAAAAAAAACATGTAAATATATATATGATAACAATATATATATATATATTGCAACATTAGATTGGGTAACTTTAGGTAAAATTTACTAAAATCACTTTAAGTCAAATGGGAATCAAGTTACCAATTTCTAATACAATTTTTGTTTACATATATATATATCGAACGATAGATGAAATAATAAAAACGTGGTCCAAATCTAAACTTAAGAGCAAGATATTATATGGAAAATTAAGATAAGGTTAGGATTCCGATCGATCCTAATATCAGTTTAAAAACAAATAATAAAGAATAAGTTAAAACAGAAAAAAAATAAAACGAATAATATCTACAATTCCATTCGTTACAATCGTATGAAAAAATAATCGTGAAACGAAATAATTGAATAATAATGATCGAACGAACGTACGAAAAGGGACGACTCTTCGACAGTCGGATCCCTTCTTCCTTCCTCCTTCTGCGCAAAGTGATGTGTATACATATTTTATTTTTTATTTTACTTATTTTTTTGTTATCATTTAAGAACTACGTATCTTAATGCATGAATAAAAACTAAAATTAATCTATATAGTATTTACAATTTGATCAAGTGCTTCAAATAATCCTCATCATCATCATCATCAAAAGTTATCGTTATTACATTCTTCTTTTTCTTAATACGTTCCTGATCGAAATTCTCGTTTATCTTAAAACGCTTACTTTAGTTTAATTTACACCTACTATTTATAGTATGTATATATTTATAGAATATTAAACTTTCTCTTCGTCGAGCGCATCCATTCCGACGGCGCATCGTCTTCGCTTATCAATAATAACTCTGTGTAATAAAAAAATCACGTATGTACAGGAAAACAGTTACACAATTGCTGGGATAACCGGAAACGAGACTCCGGAATTTTGTTCCTACATCTATGCCCATCACAGAATTTTTTATCTTCATTTCTATGTGACCTTGCAATCGTCAAGGCCTATGGAATCTACAAAGAACAGAAAATTTTAGTAAATACATCAATTAAGAAATTATCATTGGTGGATGCGTTGGGTTAAGGCATACCTAGTTAGATGGCGACTGTCGTCGTGGACAGCCATTTCAGAGCTCTTGAACTCATTTAGCTCTTTACGGATGGCAGCTTTGTCTTTCGGCGTGAGCCTAGTCCAAGGTTTGTCAGCGCGCCTATCGTAGTCGTGAGCTTGCGTGACCTCGATGTAATCATTGAACCTGATAATTTTCTTGTCTTTCAGCTCCTCGACGGTGGGCCTGAAGCTCAGCTTGCGCAGCAGAAACCGTTTCTTCTCCTCCTTCTGTTTCTTCTCTTCGGCTGGCGTTGTCTCTGCACAGAAAATAGAAACACATTAGTTAAGGGTTATTTTAGGTTTATTTAAAGATGCATTTACTTTTGAGTATGTTCCTTTCCTCGAGTTCTTCCTGAGTGGGTCGCATGCTCAAACGTCTGATGAGTCTTGCACCGATCGCTTCCTTGCTCTCCTGCCGCTCGTTCTCGCTCTGCATCTGCAGAATGTTGCGGTTGATGAGCTCCTGACGGTCCGGTCGCAAGGACAACTTGATGGATAAGCTCTCCTTGCGGGCAATCTTCATGGCCACTTGGCTTTCGTCGGCGATGTTACCGTCTTCGTCGCGGTAGCGGATCGGACCGTCTCCGGACTCATCGTCGTCGTGGTCTTCGCGGATCACGTATGGTCGAGCGTTCTCCTTGTTCTCCATCGTGCAGGGCAGACCGAACTTTCCGGCTTTTCCGCTAAAACAAAACAGAACATTGAACAACAAACCCATAAGCGCAACACAAAAAAAAAACATCTCTTTTCATTATTATTTCTTCATATTTACCAGATTCGCATCCTTGGCCTTAAAGGAGGCCTTCTGATATGTAAGCAAGAGTTAAGAGATAGGAACAAAAGTGGATCAAATTAGAAATATATATACATCAACAAAAACAACATCAGGAACACGACCAGTTTCTTTTTTTAAACAGTAGACTAACAATAAGCACACGACACACAACTACTCGGAGAAACAAAAATCTCTACACGTTCATTTAGTTACATACCCATAACTCCTCATCGACGGTGGTACTGCTTGTATCCGCCAGGATCGATCAGATCTTAAGTAAAATAGAATAATTTCATCAATTTCAAAAGGAAAACCTTCGTCGAACGCACATTCGTCAGATGCATGATATAGGTGCTTGAATATTGATGATGCTGTCTATGTAGCTACGTAAATTGTCAATGGTATAATGGTATACTTAGATCTGTGCTAGCGATCAAAAGAAAACGGGCTTTGCAAAAGAAATGCAGTAATAAATCAGTTGCGACGTGAACGAAATGAAAAACAAGCATAAAGAAATGAATGAAGAAATTCGATGCAATTCTCTGTATGATCCTTAGGTCAAGCAGTACCGCACAATAAATATAAAACAAAAATATTAGATGCATTGAATGAGTGAGTTACGCACGATCAGTTTTTATTTCAAACGATTGATTAAAATTTTCTAAAGATATTTTTGTCCTGAATCCAAAATTGTAACTTAATATTTTCTTGGAGAAATACTAAATACTGACGAAATTATATTAATATGATTAATATTTTCTTTAATACTTTGATCATGGATGAAAATGTTATGATGTCACATGAAATGATATCACATGATCAGTATTGGTTTAACTTATGAAATACTTCATACTGATCTTGTGTGGCTCACTTTTGATGATTCGTTAACCATCGAAAAGACTTACTTGAATGTGACGTGATCTTGTCGCATGCCCAAAGGTCGATTCTCCTGTGTCGGAGTGTTCTGTGGTGTTCCAGGGCCGCCCTTCTTCTTCAGGGCTGACTTCAGTGGCATCGCATTGAACTTTGGCTCCTTGGCCGGAATCTCGTCCACTCGCGACGTGTCGATGGCCGGATCCGGCTGTGGCATTCTGTACAAGCAGTCGTCCAAATCCTCTGGATCCACGCCGTCGTCATCATCATCGTCTTGATCTGCGAAAAAAAAAACAACGAACGCTCACTTAAATTATGTACATTGGCTATTGCGCTTTCGCGTTTATTCAGCGAAACGGATCGATGTTATGGAATACATAGAAAGTATTAATGATGCGGTTGCAGGTTTTCATATTATATATTTTTTGTGTGAGGAAAATACACACATTCCTTTGGATATGTAATTCCTAGTGAAACAACCCCCATTTCCTGCAGAGATTGAAGCCAACAGCGATGTTCGGAGCTCGTACAATTACGTCTTGTGTCGTTCAGTTAATTCCGTGCACCGGAGAGTCGAGAATTTCGGATTATTCCGCGACCCTCGTATGCATAACATGGGGTCTAGAGACTAGACAATTTGCATATTTTCCACATCACAATTTCACACATTAAGATGATTTTCGCTTAACAAAACTCTACGGTCGATGGCACTTTGTACTTCTTATCTGATCCGCTTGAAAATACTTTTATTTGCATTGTAAATTTTCTATTCCTCTACACTGATACAATTTAAAGATCTTTTGGCATATTTATATTCTTGGAATCATTATAAAACATATCATTAGATGCAAATTTATGATTTTTTATATTTGGATAAAGTATTTTTTAACCATATTTTTAATTATATCGATTCTAGAATGTATTTTGCTATTCATTGACTTTGAATCTTGTATTTACATCTTAGTTCTTAAGTACAGTAGTCTCTTCATTAATAGTAGATGTGCTCTTTGAAGATAGAGCCCGTTTTCACATAGTTGATTTATTAATGATAGATCCAAGATGCAAAATTTCTCTAAGAAAACCAAGTGCATTTCTTTGATCTGCGGTTACAACTATACTTATTAAAGTACTTGTAGGATGATCGAATTTATTACAGTCTTTAGGTTTCCTGAACGTTCTCGTGCTCTGCAGCATCGCTCCAGCTGTTAAGCTTTTATAGAACCGTTAATTTATTCCTTTTCGAGTCAGTGCATTATAATTTAATATCAGTGTCTGTAATTATCTTATTTATAGCTTAGTATATTAAGTTCAGTTTCTGTCGTTTATTTATATCGTAAGTAGAATGCTAATGTTTTCTTCAAATATTCCTTACATTCTTTTCATGATGTTGCAATTAGAAAATACTACTGATATTTTTCTCTTTAAGGTTCTAAAATCTTTACTTTATCTATGCAGTCAAGAATATTTTTCATGTTATAACTGGAGTAGAAGTACTTCTGATCTGCATGCAAGAACTTATAATTGACAAAGGGTTCAGGTTCTAAATTACATTACAATGTAGACTGTAATTAAAACTTCAAACTCGCGTTCGGGTACCTATTGTTAAATCATCGATGGAATGAGGAAATTATCCGGCAAACACAATTTCTTGTGATTTTTTCACTTTGATCTATGTACGAAGTGGTCAATACTTAAAAAAAACTTTATTTGTTTGTACACTTACCGTCATAGTCGTAGTCCCCGATATGTGGAGGCAGTGGCGAGGGCTGTCGATGGGGGACGGGACTGGGCGAGCTGAACATCGGGGGCGGCGGAATGGGCCCGATTTCAGAGACAGGTATCGGCGGTTCTGGCAGCTCTGAAAGCATGAAACCGGGGGCGATCGGAGGCAGGACGTGGTGTGACTGTCGCTCGTGCGGGGGCGGCGTACTTCCAGGAGGCCCCCCTTGAGGTCCATCAGAAACTGCAACAACGAAATTGCCAATTACAACACGTTGACGTCATAAAATCGATCGGGAGTAGTAACATAAACAACAGGAACAGCAACATCAACAATAACAGCGGCAACGGCACTTTATAATATACGCGACGACAGGCTTTCCGCATTAAAGCCCCAGTGAAAAATTGATGTTGTTGTTGCTGTTTAGTGCGTATAACGTGACGTGATGTGTTGTTTCCAATGCTACAAAACCATCAGTTTTAATATATAAAACGTACATATTAACATCTATCGTGTGTGCTTGTAAATAAGTCTTCAACAAAGTTCTAGGTACCATCAATATTTTTAACCAAATCAGAATAAGAAAGCCTATGAAAATGCTCCTTCTTAAGCGAATATGTTTCGGTATCAACGATTCCTATGAACATTAATTATTTTGCTTTGATTTCAGCATATCTTAACATTATGTTGTTTCTATAACGTAATTTCTAGAACTTTGCTTATTTATATCTCATTGAATAAAGTAAACATGTTTTGTATATGATTTGTTTTGTGCATTTATTTCAAAGAAACTTGCGTTTAGTGTAAAATGGTAGTTCGAACAAACAAGTAGAATAAGAAGTAACAGGGGTGCAGTTAATTGTCGTATTGATTAGACGCTTCTAGAAGCAGCTAATACATGTTTTTTGTGTGCAGAAAGGAGGATGACTTAAAGAAAAACTCTTACAGTGTTCGCTGTGGTAACATAACAGTCGTCGGGTAAGTTTGCCGGGACCCAGAGAGTTGGGTCTTTCCGGTTTGTTCGGGGTGTCCCCGTAGCCTGGAGGCTGTAGGGTCGGAGACTGCGAATCCCCGTTAGGAGAAAGCGCCCCGTTCTGTGCTGAACCATCAGTCTTATCTTTTTTCGGCTCTGAAACGATAAACGAACGCCTTCATTATTAACATGTCCAAATCCAATGCCAACATGAAGAGATAGAGAAAAAGACGAGACAAGACGAGAGACGACAAAACGAGAGAAAAAGGGTGCAATATTTAAACAGTGTCACGTACAAACAATAAAACACAACAACACAAGGAACGCGTGTTTTGCCTCTTCGTGGTGCTCTTATACAAAACAAAAAAAAACGATTTCGCAAGTTCATAAAAATTCTCTCGCACCATTGGATCTTTGCCAGTTCTATATTATTCAAAATCTTAATACAGCCGCACATTATTCGCAATACTTGTTCTACAAGTTAAACAAAAAAAAATCGAGTAAATTTAAACAGCTGTAAGATGTAAACATGAGAGGTAAATAAATGAGTCAAGTTGTATTTCTTGTTCGCAATTCACTACTGCTACTACTACTACAACTAAAAAAGAAACAGTTACAAAACTTGTATTATAGTAGTAAACTTAATCAAAATATTTGTCGTAATTTAAATTACTTAAGTTACTTAAATAAATTGTTTCATGAAAAGTGTCAGTTTATAGTTTTTTTGAAAATCAATTTATAGAATTGTGAAGGATTGATCTACGTTCCTACAGTTATCTAATACGATCTTCTTATAAACAGAATTTGCTATAAAAAAAGAACGAACGAGGAGACGTCTGTGCGGTTTCCGTTCTAATTTCGTGATATTTCAACGGCCCGAAATTTATGATCAACATTAAGTCGCGGTATTGGAAAAACAGGAACGTCTTCATTACGTTTCCTTCTCGTTTCCCGTTGCTCCTTATTATTATAAAAATAAAAAGAAATTGGGTTTTCGCGTGGGCCCTGCATTCCGATTTAAAAATATTCCGAGACCCAAAGAAAAGCCATTTTTATTACACCTGAAAGATGAGCGGCGTCGAAGAAAATAAAGGTTGTTTTTCTAGGTTTTTCGCTGGAATCCTAGGACCTTTGGACTCGGACCAACAAAAAAAAACTCAATGTAACTGTTGGTGTGTCACGATGAGTCAAGTGGAACTTAGAAGAGCGATTAGAGAAAGGATTCTCCTTTTGTGTATTTTTTTAAATAGATAAATATATATAAATCGTCTTTCCGAAATTGATTGCATTCCTCGCTTCGGCGCCTAAACCGAAACCACTTTTGGACTCTGTCCAAGGAATCCGAGGAATGCTTTCATTCACTCTCCTTCAACCGCCTGCTCCTTGTAAATTATGCCATTCGCAGGAATTCCGAACGGCACTCACAATGCCACACATTAAAAAAAAAACAAAATGATTTGTTGTGCGTAAAGTGCTTGACAAATTGTTATTACAATTTTTCTAAACGTACAAGCTACAAGGGAATTTTAAACATCTGAAAGTTAGAAATAAATCAACAAACAAAGATTTTAAATAAGCTCGTGTGAACGAAAATTTATAAGAATATTTTCATAAATAAATATACTTCTACAGTGATAAACAGTCAACATCGTGCATGCATTTCTAATTATAACAATGTTGATGCAATTAGCGAAGAAAAATTGCTAAAGTTTTGCGGCGCACAATTCTTTCTGGAGGTTGGGATAAAAATGAAGAAGGTAAATCAATTAGCGAGAAGTTGGTTTGAAACCATCTTGGAATTGAAGCGAGAGGCAGCCGCTGTTCGCTTATTGCGAAAATTCACCCTCCGGTCTTTTAATCCTATTAAGGGAAGAAAAGAGGCGAAACTTCTGGAACGAGAGGGAAAAAGGGCAAAAACGCATAAAATACTGGAAACCCGTTGAAATATTAAATTCCACGCAAACGCCTATTATCGGTGTCAATTCTGCGAATTCTCTAAATTTAAGTTCGCGCAGTTTCGCGTTGCACGTACATTCCGAGAATTCGTTTCGAATCAAATCATTTAAATTAATAATCAACAACATAATTAATTAGTATTTATACAATACAGTTGCAAATTAGTAAGCAATGGATTCGGCCAATAATCAGATTCAATAATTATTTTTAGGTTCGAAACATTTCGTGTTCGAAGAAATAATTAACAAATATTTAATTAACATTTATATAATTCACAGTATTGAATGAATTTTGTCAATAATCGAAAAACTGTATTGATTTGGTTTATAATAATGAAACTGTAATTATTAAATATTGTATAATAAAAAAAAATGTATCAGTATATCAAATTTTCTAGTGGTTAACAGGTTTAATAATTAGTGGAGAATATTGGATTTGTTGAAACGGGTAAGTGTAATTCAATAATTCCGTTGGATTCTATTATTAGTGGGGAAAATTCAATTAGCGCGAAACTGCAATTCGGGTTTTGGCTATTCGAGAATCGATTGAATTAGAGCAAAGCTATAGCATTTGCATGGACTTTAAATAATGCAAGAGTTTTATTAGAGCGGTCTGATTGATGATGATGCTCAGTGCGTCTCTAACGATCAAGTTCAAGTTCGCGCGTAACAGAAACACACCTGGTGCGATGCGTTCGTAACCTTGGATGATCCCGAGATGTGTAAAATCTGTTAGAATCTGCGTATGTGGTGTGTGTGAATCATCTAAACAATATATGCTGCAAATGCTGTCAATGTGCCAGAAGCGCGATGTTCAGAGCGGGAATGTTAATAATGAATGGAATATAAAAGAAAAAAATGTAGTTTGTTGCAGCAGATTCGATGGTTGTTTTAGTTGCGTATCTTTGTGTTTATTATTATTTTTTGTTGTCTGTCGTTGGTTTTTATTGTTCTCCATACCGAATCGCAAATTCCTATATTCGGGATGCAGGAATGCCGCAGGCGGAGTGATCGGAGCTGCACTATCCCAATAGGGCACCACGTCTGGCTGACATTGCACCAGGTCCAGCTTGTGCTGCTGCTTCTCGCAGCGCCGACGCCGGCGTCCGCTCGGGGTGAAGGTCTTCACGAGGAAACCGACGCCGCTCATGGTGGATTTATCGAGAAAAACCTAGGTAGGTGTTGCTTTACGTATGAAACCAGCAACGTCGTGTACCGTCCGACGGAAGGGTCGATCTCATCGGCGAAGTGTCGAAGCAACAGATTAATTATTGGTCGAGGTTTTCGGGTTGGGTTTTTCTCTGTGCGAGGATGGATGGATGCGAAAAGATCGCGGGTTTCGGCTGTGGAGGCGGCGAGGTCTCTACCAGATAGAGATCGGTAACGGACTAAGGCTGCGTCGTCGTCGACGCTCTCGACGCCATTGCGTGGGCGTCGTAGCCCCGGTCCGATCGTTACCGTCTCTCTGCAGCATCCGTGACGTCACGCGAATCCGAAAACCTTGACTGCTGGGAAACCTCGCCGAAGTGCACAATCCAAACAAACCGATTTCCAAAACCGTTCCTCTTTCCCTCTCACAACATTCCAACACACAAACACTATACACAGCCTCATCCTTAACAACCACCAATCCATCATTAACTAATTTACATTGCAAAGTCTACCTTCATCTCATGATGTCTACAAGCTCTTATCCATGTCTCACTTTCATGTAATTTTGAAAAATGATAAATATATAAAATATGTTATAGCAATTTTCTTCGAAAAGTCTAAGTCAACTGTTGAATGTATGAAAAGTCTTAAAGGCATAAACAAAAAAATGTCGCTTAATATTACTTTGCATGTTAATAACTTATTATTTTTAAATAGTTTTTATAAAGTAAATTTTACTGTTTTAACATTTTGTCTATATTTGATCTATTCAATTAAGTTTTATATACGTTCTAAAATATCTTGGTTACAAGCTTAACGGAAATAATTGTGTTTCTTTGTTCAAAGCAATTTGTGCTGATAATGTTCATTAATCAACTCTTTGCAAACTTAATATAGAAGAACATAAAACTCAAGTGTTATGCTTCAAACAAAACACATTTTCTTACTTTTTAAAGAAGAAAAAATAGGGCCATTATAAAGAACATACTAAACAAAACAGTAAAAATTTACTATCGAATGCAACAAAATGTAAAAAAAAACGACGACAGAAAACGTTTTACCAGCTATTAGAAGCAAATTTCCAAAAGCCAAGCCTATCTTTGTTCGGCCAAACCTAATTCTATTACGTGCAGTAAAAACGCAGTTGACACAACGCGAAAAAATGTTACGTATATTAATCAATAAAACAAAAAGTATTTCAATGTAATTTAACCTAATTGCATACATTTTGAATTTCAATAAAATTTTAGTAAACTTTGTATACTAATCATTTGGGACAAAGGAAGTAATGTTCTATAGAAATGAAAACAATCTGATTAACACCAAATAATTAACCACAAGTTGAATAACTTTGAGGTCCATTGATAGGATGGAAACTTCCTAACAAGGTATTATATTTCATCATTAATTAGTTTGTCAAACATTGATGCAAATACGTATGAATAATAATAATAATGAGTTTCCTTATTTTCAGACCATTCAAGTCGCGACAACCAGCAATTATTTCAATGATTAATCGCTGATGGAATTAGACATACAGTAGTTTCTTTGTGCAAATAGTGGAGCATGCGAGGAGAGCGAAGCTCGCAGATAGATAATGGGCACTAAATATTAACTGGAAGGCAATTACTTATGAGCAGCGTACATCCACCAAAGTGTACGTAAGCTGGATGATAACCGATATATACATATATAATGGCGTGCCTCTCCACGAATCCGCGCAGAAAACGCAAGCAGCGTTTATTTATTTTTCCCCATTTATCGAGGAATAGAGCCTTAATGCTTGTTTTGTTTTCCGTTCTGCAATATCTCTGCATTACAGCACTTGGGGCATGAATACCACACACGTACCGAACGCCATTCTATCTATTCCTCTCCTCGAGCTCTCATCAGCAAAAACAAAGCAAATACAAACAAACAAAAACAAAACAAAGAAGAAGTATCAAGAACGGAAGGAGCAGAAAAAAATGATTCGTACGAGTAGAAGAACAAATAAAGAGGAAATCAGCGTTGCGGCACTATCCTGACTTGTGCATGTACATCAGCTGCAGGAATATTTTGGCAGCGCGCCTTTCAACCTGAGCGCGAATTCCAAATTAAGTTGTTCACGAGATTAAATTAAAAAAAAAACGTTTAAATCGATATCTTTTCAGTTATCAGCACTTACGTAATTTGGATACGGGAAAACGTAACTCACCTGGAACAAGAAAATAATTGGGATTAGTTAATGCAAATAAAAAATAACGGTAATCGGAAATGAGTTTCGAAGATATTTATACTCGCGAATGGCTATTATTACCTTCTCAAAATTCAAGTGGGTTCTCGCTAGAACGAGAAGAGCGTCTTAAATTAAGAGAGATTTATTGATGGGTACGTGAGCGAAGTAGGTGTTATCGTAGAGAAGTTATGCAATGCTTTGTTGAGTGGGTGTTTGTGTATATGTATTTCAGGTAAGGATAATCCCAAAGAACAAATATAATCTGGAGGTAAACTCTATTTATACGCATATAGTTCCAATACAAAAATAAGCCGACGTGACTCAATCTCTGTTTGGCTCATTGCGAATGTAAGTAATTTTCACGTAAGTGAGTCGAGTCTAAAAAATGCACCTGTTCTGTTGTTCATAACTTGAAAATAAAAAGTTTGTCACGTGAATAGAAACGAAATACATACACTTTTCGCAACGAAATTTCTTTTTTCAGTCGTTAATTTTCTGTAAACTACTTTTACCAAACGTAAATTTTCACTAAACTTGAAATTTATAACGGTGAGCTTATTCCACGGAAAGCAGCATTTCTTTAATTATTAAATGAGCTTTAACGTTGGAAATACGCGGCGATATCTCTCGAAACGCGTTAATTAAAAATTTAATTTCGTGGCGCGAGAATCCAGAGCTCATTAAGTTTTCAGTAAATAAATATTTGCAGCGTGCGTTTGTTTCTTCATTCGTTTATTTCGTGTAGAAACCAATACCGAAACACAGCCGAGTAAAAAAAAAGTTTAAATCCAATTTTAATGTGAACTTTTGCAGCTTAATTGCTCGCTTTGTTGCTTCCTCTTCCGACATTATTGTTTCCTAATAGAATTCACTGAAGCTTAAATGAAAATAAAACAAACAAATAAAAAAAAGACAACTTTAGATTCAATTTTAATGTGAACTATTGCAGCTTAATTGCTCTCTTTTGTTGCTTCCTCTTCCGGAAATATTGTTTCCTAACAGAATTCAAAGAAGCTTAAATGAAAATAAAACAAACAAACAGAAAAAAGACAACTTTAGATTCAATTTTAATGTGAACTTTTGCAACTTAATTGCTCTCTTTTGTTGCTTCCTCTTCCGAAAATATTGTTTCCTAACAGAATTCACACAAGCTTAAATGAAAATAAAAGAAACAACAAAAAAGACAACTTTAGATCCAATTTTAATGTTGTGAACGTTTGCAGCTTAATTGCTCGCTTTTGTTGTTTCCTCTTCCGAAATTATTTTTTCAGCACGTGATACAGAAATGAAAGCAATCAACAGTTGAGTGTCTAACAAAAATTGACAACGTATCAATCAACGTCCGTTTTAATTGACGAGTCTGCTGTTTTTTGTGTTGTTCTTGTTCCGTCTCGTTTTGTTAGTTTTACGCGGTGCGCAATCTGTTGAATCTGCGCAACCGGAATTTCCAATTTAAGTAGAAACTCACTGTAATCCGGATCCAGAACGAAAAATGGAAAAAAAGGTCGACCCAAATTCCGATTTCCGATCAATTGTTTGCTGTTGCGATTATGCGATTAGTTCCGCTCTAATCGTGAATCTCCGCTCCAAAATCATATAAGTTGTTAATATTGCTTAACTCTAGTTTACTGAAGCTATTTAGTAATTTAGGAATATTTCCATGGAGATTTATTTAATTATTTAAGAAATAACAGTGTTTTTCTTTAAATTGAATAAATTGCAAATATTAGTTTAAGTGAAATTTTATAACTAATGCTACACTTTTTTTTAGTCTAAACATGACACTATCACTTAGTTTATTTAATATATTTGTTAATTGAGATTTTGCATATAATTCAACAACTAACAGAAGAGATTTTTTTTGTTTCTAGTTTAGACACAATCACCACTCCAAAAAATTATAAATTTCCAATCATGCTTAACTTTAGTTTGTTTAAGATAATTGATTTTTTTTTTGGATTCTGTGAATTGTTTAAAAAATAACATTTGAGTTTTTTGGTTTAATAATTATACATATAGTATACATTTTGATTATAGCTTAAATAAATTGAACTAAAAGTTAACTGAAGCTTTATTTATTTCCTCATTGCAATTAATTTTGTAAGTAAGAATACTAGAAATAGTGTAATTATAAAATATAGCATAATGTAACTAAAATAACTCAAGCTGTTTGTTTGTTAATTTATTAACTAAATAAAGTGGATGTTTTCCCTTTAAGCATGTACCGACGTGTGGAAACAATTGCGTTGCGAGCATTTGAAGTGGAAACGTTATTTCCACAATTAGAAGCTTTGATCGTTCGCGTAACTTGTTTAATTTCCTGTGTCGCCGTTTAAAAGGAAACGCGAGCAAACGCAAAAATTACATTATCATTGTTTTCAATTAACTTTCGAAATGAGAAATTCTTTACAGAACATTCTTAGATGAAACAAAAAAAAGTGCAACTAAATTATTTAAATTGAACCAATTATCAAAGACGAAACAATTCATAATCATTTCTTAGAATAGTTTTAATGATCAAGACACTTTCTCCAATCTTTTTCCAACAAAGAAAACTGAAAATACACGATGGATTTAAAAATAACTCTCTTGTATCTATGCAAATTATTGAAGGTCGACAAACTTAGTAAAAATGCAACTAAATCATTTAAAATAAACCAATTATTATCATTAACGTTTTCTCCAATCATCTTAGAACAAGGAAACTGTAAGTAGATTTGATATGATTTTCAAATAACTACGTTTATTTACGCAAATAAGAAATAATTTCCTTGAAAAAAAAAATGCAAAATCATTTCAATTAAGTCAATTATTATAGATAAATTCATCATATTTCCACTAATATTGGGTTGGCAAAAAAGTAATTGCCGATTTTAAATTTGGATGGGAGTAGTGTTTCTTTTGAATGACTTCTATTAATGTTACAATTATATAGTTTTAGCAGTTATCAGCTGTGAACTTTAGCTTTCTTAAAAACCAAATTAAGTGTATTTTTTGCGAGATTTGTTTGTATATTTTCGTCATATTTTGCTTTATTATTTCCGAAAAAGAAGCTGCTAAACAGTGCCGGAATTGGTTTGATAAATTTCGTTCTGATGATTTTTCAAAGATGAACTGCGATCTCGTAGGCCAAATGAAGTTGATGATGGTCAAATCAAAACCATAATTGATTCGAATCGTCTCCTGAGATTGCAAAAATGTTAAATGTATCGCCAATTGGACAAGAGTTGGTGAATCGCGAAGGTGTTGTATTGGTAAAACCTTCTATGATGATAACGCTGTGAAATTACACCTAGTTTAGTTTTTTTTTTCCAGAAGTATGAGCGTGGTATAAATAAGTTTACAGAAAGATGACAAAAGGTCATTGATCAAAATGGAAAATATATTATTCAATAAAGTTTAATAATTATATAAAAAGTCGTGTTTCATTTGCATATGAAAATCGGCAATTACTTTGTTGCCAACCCAATAGTTTAATTTCAAAACACATTCTCCAATCATCTTCGAATAAGGAAACTGCGACTAAACGAGCTAGTTCTTGAAATAACTCCCTTCATCTTCGCAAATAAAACAAATCACTGGAAGTAAATCATTTAAATTAAACCAATTATTATTGAGACAATTCATCATCAAGTAAATTTCCAATAAAAGGTTTAAGTTGAAGACACTTTCTCCAATTATTTTCGAATAAGAAAACTGTAAATAGATTTGTCTTTGCAATGAAAAAATATGTGCTTCGAAAAAAAAAACGCAACAAAATTATTGAAATTAAACCAATTGTTATTGAGACAATTCATCTTCGTTAATATTTCCAATAATAGTTTAATGTTGAAGACACTTTCTCCAATCATCTACGAAACTGTAAATAGTCGAGATGGATTTTAAAATAACTCCGTGTATCTACGCAAATAATCAATTTCCAGCATGCAAACATCGCCGTCTCTAAGATAATAAATCTCCTCTTTCTACCTACACGTTCAGTCTTCACTGAAAAATCGGAAAGGAAAATACCATGTTTTTCCTCCTTTCTGTTTATGATTCACCAAGGAAACCAAATATAATTTCAATCAAAACGTTACATCGATTCGTTTATTTTCAATATCTCGCACGTATTCATTCATGTATTCAATACTGCTTGTAAATGGGATGATGATGATTAATTCAATCCCATGATGGTGGTTCTTGAATGGAAAAAAAAAGGTTTTTCTTTATGTTGCACAATCCTTAACTACCTACTAATAGGGGTGGCGTGTCTGATGCGATCCCGATCGAAAAAGGTTTCTAAGGTTTTTGTAAACCAATACCGGAAATAGCGAACCCGGGCACATACACGTAGCCAACATAAATCCGGTTAACCCAGAGGAGCTGCGGCGGAGCCATCGGAAGTCGTTGGCGGATCGATAAACCGGGGCTTTTCCGAGGCTATTCATGTACTACACAAAAAAAAACACACACACTAACCTAACGTACATTACTTCCACCCAAGCTCTTCCCCGAAAAAAGAACTCTATTATTAGGAGAGTACAAGAACTGTGCAGAAAAAAAATACCTGAAAGTATTTTAAAGATTCTAAAATTTTAATTTGATTTTTGCTTTACATAATTTATTTTATATTACATAAAAATGTGTTGTACGAAGCTAGTAAACTGTATTGTTATGATAACTTTAAATAATATAATATATCTTCTAATTAGGACTTCTATAACCGATGACCGGTTAACTGGTTATAGCTTCCAAGATGATTACCGGTAAATTTTCAAAGAAATACCAGTAATTTCGATATTTTTTTATGTTGCACATAAATGTTTTACCAATACAATACTAAAATACGACGAGTGGAAAATTATTTCGTCCATTCACAAAAATGAAGTTCTTCTACAGTACAAAAACCAACTTAAAAAAAACTGGTTTTCGAATCTCGACTTTTCTACAAAACCGCTTTAAACCGGTATTCAAATTTTCACAAAAAGAGAAAAGGG